GTGCTCACAAATGACAAATGGTTTTGACAGAGAGATTGTACAGATGGGAATGTCACTGGACTCTTTAAGTGTGTTTGGACAGTCAGTTAGCTCTAGATTCATCACACTCTCTTACAGTAACTGTCCACATCAACGTAGTCAAAGGTGGCACCATATCTGAGCTTTTGTTGCTATAATCCCAAAGAAAACAAACTAAACTGAGCAATGAGAAAGCAAACAGTCCAAGCATACCCTCTATCTATGGCTTTCTGTTTGTCTCTCAGAAACTGTGTACCTCATGGTCTGTTTCTGACGTATCAGTTGAGTAGTAGTAGTAGTAGTATTTGTTTTTTTTGTCCCCGAGGGGAAAACGGGTTGCAGCACATCACAATGGCATTTAAAACAACAACATAGACACAGATTAAAACAAACAGACATAAGAAAACCAGATATCAGCCGACATGACAAGGGGCCTGGGCCCTCATTTGGGAAATAGGGGGGACAGGGCCAGACCAGCTGGGTAAACAGTGCGTCCTAGCCATCATTTATTTAGGAGTTTGATGGCTTGTGGGACGAAAGACAGCCGAGATCTGTTCTTTATCTCCGCCCGGATGGCAACAGTTCAAAGTAAGAGGCAAGAGGGTGCCTCAGGTCACTCACAATATTGTGTGCCAATTTTAAAACTCTGTCCTTGTATAAGCATTCTATATTAGCAAATGAGATTCCTGTCAATTTACTGGACAATGTTATGGCCCTCCTGACTGACTTTTTCTGTGCCTCAGTTGCGTTGCCGAACCAGCATATAATGCCGAAGGAGAGAACACTTTCGATAAAAGCATGATAAAACATCTTCACCATTCTGTTGCCGACATTAAAAAACATCTAAATAAAATAAATCTAAATCTAAATAAACATGCTTCTATAAATATTAGACCCTCCAGAAAAACGCGATTCTGCGATCGCAGAATTTACCGCATAATCAGCAAAATGGCGCAGATTTTTAAAATGCCGCATAATCCCCGCATTTATGCGGTAAATTCTGCGATCGCAGAATCGCGTTTTTCTGGAGGGTCTAATNTACAATTCCCACACCGCCTGTGCTAAAGCCGCAGTGATGGGCAACCTGTTGAGAGACGCCGTTGAGGAACAGGTTTTAACCGTACCATACACGTACATACGTACCGTACAAGTACCCTCTTCTGCACACTCACCTCGAGACGCCAAAAGCCCATGTAAAGATTCTATTTGCCGACTTCTCTTCGGCTTTTAACACCATTAAGCCAAGTATTTTAGCAAATATTTTAACTAAAGAATTCTCACTTGAACCTGGTCTGATCTCCTGGATCGTTGACTTGCTTAGCTGTAGAACTCAGAAGGTAAAAATTGGCATGGCACTTTCTGACACAATAACTACCTGGATAGGCTCACCCCAGGGATGTGTCTTATCCTCTCTTTTATTTATTTTATACACCAACTCCTGCATCAGCACCTTTCCCAAAAGGCACTTTATTAAGTATGCAGGTGATACGGCCCTGGTCAGCCTCCTATTTGATGAGGAAGAGGAGCATGGGCCTGTCCTTGACTTCTTTATTAACTGGTGTGAGGAGTCAAACCGGCTTCTAAACACCTCAAAAACAAAGGAGATGGAAATTGATTTTAGAATAGCACAATCGCCCAACCCTACTATTTTAAATTGCGAGCCCATTCAATGTGTCACTGAGTACAAATGTCTTGGTGTCGTGCTTGACCACAAACTCAGATGGGATGTTTGGTCTGAGAAAATAAAAGTTAA